ACAAACAACAAAGGTAAAGATGCTGGTGTTGATGGTTACACTCGACTCACAAATAATGGTAGCAAGATTTTTAGTAACCCTAAAATCCATGATGCATTCTTGGGTGTGGGTGATTATGAGAATTTGACCTTTCCGAATGGGCCATTTGGACTGGGGTTTAAGAGGAATAAAGCTGCAGATGGATCGATTATTGGTTATGGGCACTCGGGCATCGGTGGATCAACAGGTTTCTGTGACATAAAAAACAGGTTTGCTATCTCGGTGTCCTTGAACAAAATGTCATATGGTGCTACAACTGCAAAAATCGTTGACTTTGTTTGTTCAGAGCTAAATATCCCACTGCCGGTTGAGTTTTCATTTGTTAAGGACTTTGAGAAGCCTCTCATTCGCTGAAAATGAGTATCTCATAGCCCCTTTGTATAAACTATATCCAAATCAAATATTGCCTCCATAGAGGATGAATTATCAAACATTTCATGAAGGAATTATATTGAACATGAGAAGGAACAGTGAGCTGTTTCTTTGCCATCTTTGTTTTGTTTTTAGGGGGCGGCGATTCAGAATTTGATCATCTAGTTGATAGATAGTACTTTATGCTCAAGCTAATACATTTGTACAAAGTAAAGTGTTTTAAGATGATTTTATGTTTTTAAATTAAAGATAAATTAAACAAGTTGAAGAAAGATTATGTCAAACATTGAGGCTTGACACATCAATTTGTAGAGATAGTGTGTATCAATAATTTGTATATATCAATACCGTATATTGGGACGACCTAAGTGGTGATTTCACCCCAAAAAAAGAGAAATTATATTTATCACTTGTTTTTGAGATACACATATAATTTAATTGCAATAATAAGTATGTTTTAAAAAATGTAAACTTTTACTTAATGAATTTTATTACTTCAAGAGTTTAATAAAAAAAAAAGTTGGGGAAAGTTGATTAAAAAAATTAATTTTGAAAGTTGAGTGTAATAAATAGTTGATCAGTAATGTATGTAAGTCCTGATTTTTGTTATTTCCTAGATGTTTAAACTACAATACTCTGTTATCCATAAAGAACTTGTTATGATATTCGTCTCATATTGTTGCCACCTATATATATATATATATATATATATGATATTTTAAAAGAGAAAAATTGATGGCAGTGATAATGTTTTGAGTAATAAGCCAAAGCCTTGGATCAGAATGTCAATTTCCAATACCTTAGGGGTCAAAAAGGTTTACTCCATGTCAATTTGTTAACTTTATTATTATATATTTTTTTGAATTTAATTATATAACAAATTGATCAACGAATGTCATAAAATTCGAATCTTCTANTGGGCTGGGCCATGGGTCTTTCATGGGCTTGGGTAGAACTCTCCTTGGAAAACCGGCTTGCCAAGGGAGGGTGCCCAAGCCTTTATAACCCACATGCCCACCCTTTTCCCTTTCAATGTGGGATCCCAACATATAGCATAAGCTAATGTTGCTTTCAATTGAGTATAAGACTATATGTTGTCGACTATGATTAAAGTATGAAGCTTTATGAACCCTGAAATCTGTAGATGACAAATATTTTGCCTATATTTATATGGTGCTGTGTCTAGGTATGCCAGGTTGATTGATTGTGAGTTTGATTTTTTTGCTGGCCTTCAGACTGATCAAAGATTTGACCATATTCTCATCTTCTCTATGTACTTCCCTATTCTAATAATATGTTTGGATGAAACAGCATGCATCTGGGAAGAAATTTCAGGAGATACTTGAAGAAGCATTCATTCGACCGCTAAATATTGAAGGCGAGCTATATGTTGGAATTCCACCAGGTACTTGTCAAACTTCACTTTTTAATCTTCTCATGTCACTTAGTACAGCAAATATAGGTCTGCATGAATATGTACACACAATAATGTTCTATTAAAAAGAACAGAAATTATGTAGTCTACTGTAACTATGAAACTGAAGTAGCTGTCATCAATGGCATTATCATGCCTTTCAAATGGCTACCCTCCAGGTGTGGAATCTCGACTTGCAACTCTTACAATAGATGAATATGATCTCAAAAAGTACGCAGACAAATCTTATCATTCTGACCTACCCCCTGAGTTCCAGCTCGACAAAGTTGCAGAGCTCATCACCACCTTGCCAGTTTTCTTTAACATGCTGAAAATTCGTCGTGCCATCTTACCTGCTACTAATGGACATTGCTCAGCCCGTGCGGTTGCACGCTACTATGCAGCCCTAGCTGATGGGGGAGTAATCCCACCCCCACATTCCTCTCTGTCCAAGCCAACGCTTGGCAGTCACACCCACATCCCCAAATTTCCTTCACAGAAGTCACAAAAGCCAAAAGGTAAGAAAAGCAAGGAGGTACCTGCTGCTTCAAAGGAAAACACAAACAACCAAGGTAAAGATGCTAGTGTTGATGATTACACTCGACTCAGAAATCATGGTAGCAAGATTTTTAGTAACCCTAAAATCCATGATGCATTCTTGGGTGTGGGTGATTATGAGAATTTGACCTTTCCGAATGGGCCATTTGGACTGGGATTTAAGAGGTATAAAGCTGCAGATGGATCAATTATTGGTTATGGGCACTCAGGCATCGGTGGATCAACAGGTTTCTGTGACATAAAAAACAGGTTTGCTATCTCGGTGTCCTTGAACAAAATGTCATATGGTGCTACAACTGCAAAAATCATTGACTTAGTTTGTTCAGAGCTAAATATCCCACTGCCGGTTGAGTTTTTATTTGTTAAGGACTTTGAGAAGCCTCTCTTTAGCTGAAAATGAGTATCTCATATCCCATTTGTATAAATTATATCCAAGTCAAATATTGGTTCCATAGAGGATGAATTACCGAACATTTCATAAAGGAATTATATTGAACTTGAGAAGGCACAGTGAGCTGTTTCTTTGCCATCTTTGTTTTGTTTTTAGGGGGCGAGGATTCAGAATTTGATCATCTAGTGATGATCTGTTGATAGAGAGTACTTCATGCTCAAGCTTATGCATTTGTACACAGTGAAGTGTTTTAAGATGATTTTATGTTTTTAAATTAAACAAGTTAAAGAAAAATTATGTCAAACATGGAGGTGTATTTGTAGAGATAGTTTGTATCAATAATTTATATATAACAATACTGTATATTGATATATTTTGACGACCTAAGCGGTGATTTCACCTCAAAAAAAGAGAAATTAAATTTATCATTTATTTTTGAGATATACATATAATTTAATTGCAATAATATGTATATTTTAAAAAATGTAAGCTTTTACTTGATGAATTTTATTACTTTAAGAGTTTAATGCAAATAAAAAGTTGGGGAAAGTTGATTAACACTATTAATTTTGAAAGTTTAGTGTAATGAATAGTTGATCAAAAGTGTATGTAAGTCCTAGAGTTTTGTTATTTCCTAGATGTTTGTCTCATGGCATTGTGATCGGGTGTGATTGTTTTATTATTTTTATCTTATTCTATTCAAAATATATGTTTGTTTCACTATTTTCAAAATCCAATCATAATTTATTCAACTTAAAATATTTAGATTATTTTAATCCATAAGTTTGTTAATTTTACTATACACCCCAAAAAATAAAAGTTTATAAATTGACAAAAACATCTCTACTAACCCATATATTCTTGGAAGTCGGTTGTCGGCACTTCATGGGTGGGTGATAATGTTTTTGTTAATTTTAAAATTTTTATTGTAGGGCACGTTTAACTAAATTAAAAAATTTAGGGGATTAAAAAATAATCTTATCAAATACATTTTCAAATTCAAATATTATCTTTGTAATAATAATCTAACTCATCTTTTTCAAAAATACTATTCAAAATAATAAAACAAATAATGTTTTGGGTAATTAGCCAAAGCCTTGGATCAGAATGGTAATTTCCAATACCTTAGGGGCCAACTTGGGTTTACTCCATGTCAGTTTGTTAACTTTGTTATTATTATTATTATGTAAGGGTACCGACTAATTGAATTTAATTATATAACAAATTGATCAACGAATGTGATAAAATTCGAATCTTGTACTCAGAAAATAAATTAAATCTCGCCAAATTGATAGCTTGTTTATGTATTTCGTTATTAAAGCAATATTAATAGAAGTATGAATGATTAGACAAATATTTTCACCTCAAAATAATATCTGCTTGTTTATAATTAATTTTCCATATTTTCTCTCTTCTTATTTATATTAAATTCAATTAATTGGAAAATCAATTAATGTTTCAAATATAAATTAGAGATATATAGTAAGTTGGGCAAAAATTTAAAAAAAAAAAAAAAAAAAAAAAAAAGAATCAAAATTACAAAACTTGAACTTACACATTAAGATTTTTGGGTTTGGTGACCTGCTACACATAGAAGTCCAACTAATTAGTACAAAATTTATATTGTAGTGAAATACAATAATAATTTGTAATTGTATTTAATAAGTGGTTGATAAAAGATTAAAAGTGAAAAAAGATATTTAAATTTCATATTTTAATTATTCGTAATAAATTAGGAAATCAAAATATAAGCATGTAGTTAAAACTTAAAATACAAAAAGTAAACAAAAAATATAAAAATTGGATTTAAAGTACAAAAATTAGGTTACAAATACGTATTAAAAATTATGGGTTCTGTAACCCACAACCTGCAAAACCCAGCCCAACCTAACTCATTCTTAACATCTTGAAGATTAAGGAGGGTTGGGTTGGGTTGTGCCCGCATTTTTGCCATCCTAACATACATATACACACACAACGAGGCTCAATTGTGGTTACTTAGATTTTGATAAAGTTCGCTCCATTTGTTTTTAGCCCTTGGATTCATCCAAGGGTAGAGAATAAATATCCTGTAAGAAGAAAATGAAAAACAATTATAATAAATGAAAATGTCACATTACGGCTTTTCATGCCTTATGTAGCGGGATAAAACCATTTTTTTTTTTTTTTTAAGCAAACGACATCTTCCCACCTTAGGTTTAGCAAAATTTAAAGTTGATACATTTTGTTGTATTTATTCCATATTCCTACCCTTAAACTAACATATGTTCATTTATTTTAATAGTTGAACGGTAAAAGAGTCAAAATATCCTTGGTTCCTAGCCTAATTGCTCATTTTTGGCCGTAAGTGCTGACATCACTGCCAGCGGTTGGTTTGGGTAGATTCCGATCGGTTTTCTCATTGAAATCAAACAAAAGCAACTCCTTTTCACAAATGCAACCCTTTCCCACCTCGAATTAGCCCGGATTCCACTGTTTTCGCTGTCGCCAACCATTTTTTCAGTAGCCACCTCCTGTTTTTCTAAGTCACATTTCGACAGCCAAAATCAAATCTTCCACCACTCTCTTAATGGTCGGCCTCCACTACAAAACCCCTCAAACCCTTTACTTGGTTTCCCTTTGATCGTTGATCGTGAAACATTGTCCTCTAGTCGTTGGGTTTTTGCGATTTGCGATTTGCTCGTTTTGGAGCTTTTTGGAGGTTTATTTTTTGTAGTTTTGTGTTGGTTGTTGCTATTAGAGTGTTGTTTTGAGTTTGTTGGATTGATTGTAGGTGTTTTCTGGGTTTCTACCATCCCCAACCATTCTTAGCTCTCCTCTTCTCGAGCGCTTACCATGTGCTCGAGGAAAAAACCTAGACAACGCACGTGTGAGTTGCCCTTGTGTGCTTTGCCTGCCAGCGTCCCCCCTACAACAAACACCCTCCCACCTGCACGATTGCCACTTTTAGGTCAACTAGCCGTTCCCGACGCCAAAAACTCCACTTACCCATACCATCAGCACCACCGACATCACCTTAACAAAATCCCCCATCTCATTGGATGATGGTTGCTCACTGATTGCTGTCTGTCACCCACCCCGCGACCTCTTGCTTCTTGGCCGGATCCTGGGTGTTCCTAACGCCAAAAACTCCACCTTCCCCCACCATCAACACCACCAACATCTGCTTAATAAAAACCCCATCTCATTGGACGGTGGTTACTCATCGATCGTCGTCTGCCAACCAACCTATGTGGGTGGTTCAAGGGCATTTTGGTAATTATAGCCACTGTATTTGTGTCAGAACCTAACAATGTTAATTTAAAGGTGGGAATTTGAAATAAATGCAATGAAGGGTATCAACTTGAGATTTTGTTTAACCTCGAGTGGGAACATGTCGGTTACTCTTTTTTAAAAAAAAATTTAAAATGCACTTTTATATTATTTCTATCTCTTCACCGATTCATTCTCTCCATCATTTTTACTTTCAGATTATATTTCTTTGAACTTTCCATTAGTTAAGAAAACTGGCTTTAAACTTTTGGTTTGAGGACTATATTTCTTTACACCACAAAAAAAATGTGTTGGCTTGTGACTTACTTATCTAAATTTACATACTCAGTGAGGTTTGAAAGGCAAGGTTAGATTTAAAATCGAAAAAAAAAAAAAAAAGAATGGGATCATTTGATGCCTGGAAATAAGGATTTTGAAGCTGAGTTACATTGATATGTTGTACAAGTTCTTGTTCAACGTAATTTTTATTTTTCTTTTTGATAAATCTAGATCATGAATAGGGATCTAAAAAAAACCCATGATTTTTACTTATCTAAATTTACATACTCATGAGGCTTGAAAGGCAAGGTTAGGATTAAAATCGAAAAAAAAAGGGATCATTTGATGCCTTGAAATAAGGATTTTGAAGCTGATTGCATTGCTATGTTGTACAAGTTCTTGTTCTTCATGATTTTTATTTTTCTTTTTGATAAATCTAGATCATGAATAAGGATGTAAAAAAACCCGACCCAAGCCCAAGGTAGCTCGGCCTGGGTATATATAAACCCTAAGCCTAGAAAATCAGGCCCAAGGTACACTTAGGAGTTGGGCCTAGCCCGAATAGATTATATAAGATTTGTAAAATTATATATAACCCCTTACGTACAATTACTAAACTCCCTAACAAGTTTGAGAAAGCCTCCATAATTAACTACTCCAAATTCAATTCAATTTACCAAATAAGTTCACAACCAACTCACTTTCTCATCAATTTAAGACCAGCAAGCATATAGTTTATACAAAACAAATACATAAACAGTAAAACACAAGTACAAACATACGAAATTACATATGTAAATTTAAAGAAAACCTCAAGCCCAATCTCCGTCCAAGGCAGTTTATAACAAAATGCAGGTAACATGGTACACTCAAAGTTAACTTACTGGATGTGAATGAATTCTTATCGTATGGTACACCTACCATCCTTATAATAGGAGTCATTCAGTGCCCATACATTAACATCAACATCTTTCAACTCACTAATAGGTACCATTTTCGATGACAATGAACCTTATTCATGTTAAGAATTTTAAAACCCACAAAACCACTAAAAAGTAGCACACCTAGGCATAAGATCATAAACATAGTCATCGAATACAAAATCGAAATTTCGTTTAACATTTAAGCATTGACCTATACAAGCTCCACAACCAATTCAATCAATCTCCAATACCACTCCCTTTATACCACTAAAACCAAAATAAACCATTGGAAACAAAAACTACACTTAAACGCAACCGTGAATTAAAGATAAGGATTTAAGTTCAACCAAGACCCCTCTAATCTCTAGACAATCCTATTCAACTTCTTCAAAAACTAGAAAATTTCAACCAACCCAGTCCGAGATAAGCATCAATTAACATGTAAATCCAAAATCAAGCATGGATAGGAACAAAATCACATCCAGTTATAAGTAAATAGAGCAAACCCTCCAAAATCATCACAATATTTACCAAAAAACTCAAAGCAAAGTTACGAAAGCCTTAAACTTTCAAGACACCCAGAACAAAGAATACAACTTTCGTCAATTTTCTTGAACAAACAAGAGAAAGAAACATAATCAACATATATAAACATAGTAAAATCTCTAAGGTTATACAAACTCCAACATATCCCATAAAATGACTCATAAAAGCTCATTTTTTTAGTCTTAATACGAGAGTAGAGAGAGAAGGAGTGCTCTTGTGTGCAGTAGCGGTAAAGGTGCTGGTGGGCCGTGTCGTGCCTAAAAATTCAAAGCTTATCGTGCTATGAGCTGTGCCGTGCCAAGGCCTGTAAAAATTTGTGCCCTATCACACCAAGTACAGATAAAAATTAGTTTTTTTTTTTAATAAGGGTACCCGTATGTGTACCTGGTCCACCCAACCAGAAAAGGGTCGGGCCAGGTACAAATAAAAAATAGAGACCCAATTTTATGGACCGTATCTTATATTTTTTTAGGGGTATGAGTCCAACCGCGAGTACATACCCGTTTTGCCAAGTGTCCTTTAGTTACCTTCTTCAATGTAAAAGTTTTAATAACACCCTATTAAATCACTCTAGGACCCACTTATAAAGTAAAATTACAAAAATTCCCTTGTTGTTGATGTTGACAAACTAAAGCCTGGGTAAGCCCGACCCGGGTTTATAAAACTCGGCTTTTTCCCAAGACCGAACTTGGATTTTTTTAAAAAACTTGGGCTAAGCCCGGGTGAGGTCGACTTGGGCCTGGTGTTTTTACATCCCTAATCATGAAATGTATTGTATATAGAAATTTAATAAAGAAAAAGGTCACCATATAATATCAACTCAGGTGCAAGTGTACAAAGCTACATAACTGCAGCATTTTGTCAACAATTATTCTTCCAAACAATAAATAGAAAAAAAAAAAAAAAAAAAAATCCAACGAGAGAAGCTTTCTTTGTCCTTTGTACAACCACAGGTGATTATAAGGAAACATTCATTCTCTCATTTAGTATTTTCTTGTCGATAACATTAACCGAAATAAAACTCTTATCTATTTCCAGACCGTGACCAACCTCAACCATCATAGCATATTGACATCATACAAAAAGTTGCCCAGGAGACCCATCTAATTCCATTAAAACAAGAATATATGTTTTTTACGGGATGTTTTGCTTCAGCTAGATAGTATCGAGCTTCTTAGGGAAGAAACGAAAAGCTTATGTTAAGGATTCTAACCGTAAAATAAAAGAAAAATGGTGAAGGGGTTGGTTCCCGGATCGATCGGTTCAATAGGTGACGTCTGGATGACGACAGCATGCCGTAACAAAATTTCAAAACAACAATCAATCCAAAACTCCAACAATTAAATTCAACCTCCAATCAATCAGGCAATCCCAGCTGGTGGACGCGTAGTGGGCTCACACCAATGCAATCGTGTGCGGAGGAGTTGTGCACTATGGTGTAGTGCGCAATCGTTATAACCATGCAACACACAACGAAAAAAAAAAAAAGAGTCCCAGTTCTGCCGATTAAAGATTACTCAAAAAGAGGAAAAAAAAAAAAAAAAGAAAAGAAAAAGGAAGTCATTGTAGCTTTAATCGGGTGAATGACATTTATATAAGAATTCTATGATTACAGGTCAAAATAATTTCCTTTAGGCATGTTTTTGGTGGCTCAACAATTAAGGATTTCCGTAAGATATAGGGTGATAGAAGTGTGAATCTCGTTACAATAATTTGAGACGTATTGTTTCACTTACTAGTAATGCCAATATCACTCCTAGATTTCTCTTTTCAGTGAATTTCTCGATTCTCTTGAAAATATATTTTATATACTTGAAAAAAGCTATTTAATTCCCATCGATTTCATTTACTATTCTATAAATTTTTGTGATAATCAATCTTTATTAATTGATTTATACACAAGACGTTATACTGACCGAATCATTATCCATGAGGGAAAATCTTGTACATTTTGATAGCTTCCCATTAACAAAATAATTGAGTTATGATTTATAAACTTTTCAACATATCTGATTATAATTTATTCCTTAGAAGTTCACGCAGTAATGTATATGTTCACAAATCACAAACTATTAGTTTTTTCCTTCAAATGGAATGGCTAAGTTCCATGAAGTTGACAGTATTCTCAACCTTTACTTTCTTATATAATCATCCAATCATTGCGTAAAATTTCAATGCATTAGCTTAAAACCTATCAATTTATGAGGTTGATGACGGATAAACATTATATAAATGATGAGGAACTAAATCTCTTATCTTATCGACCTATAATTACTGTGATATTGATACATTGCCAACCACATCACTTAAGACATAAAGTTGGAATTTCAACTTTGAATACTTCGGATTATTGGAATAATCGAAGTGAGATTGTGGACAAATATATACAGGTAAGGAAAAATCTTCTTATCACTACATGATGAAACGATAAAAACGAAGTTGAAAATGTTTGTCAAAATTTCCAATTTTTCATTATCAAGATTTCGTTTACCTGATTGTCTACTTATGCTTCCCGTAACTCTTTCAAATTCTTATTATCTTGGTGAATTTTTAGATGATACTTCCTTATACCTTCATAGTTTGTATTGTGATTCTTTTAGCTATCTAAAATTAAATTACAAATGCGAGTCCTTTTTACTAAAATAATAACACATCTCATCAAATCTAATGAAAACCATAAGACAAAAAAATTGATATCACTTGAAGTTTAGTTTCCTTAATTTGTTAAACTTTTTGGAAGGATATGTAAACACTTAATTTCTGTACTTTTAATATGGAAAATGCTGAAAAGTTAGAATAAAAAATCTTATAAATAATTTGATAGAACTTCGTACAATGAAAATCTGTGTCAGATGGAATTAATATGCGTCAATGGAATTCATATATGTAATAGGACATCAAAATCAATTTTCCATCCTGATGATTACTCGTATATTATTAGAGCAGGTTCCAGCTTTTTACAAACATTTGAGATGTTACTCAATGTGGACTATTAGAAGACAAAATAAACAAAACAATGATAATAAAAATAATAAAACATCAAGATAGAAAAATAGAAAAAAATGTGATTTAATTTAAGACTTGGGTGTACGGCTTGCCCTGAGCTTCTGGACAGTTACAACATCGGTTATAAATGCCCTATCAATAATATTATCATCAATGCCACTAGTTAAGACATTGAGAGGAACTGAAACCGTGGCTGCATTAGCACTTCCAAAGGCAGAAAGAGTGGCACAAGGGTGTTTTGCATCATCATTTGGCTGATGGTGCACCAATCCCTTTGGAAACACAAAAATGTCTCCAGCTCTCAGAGTTTGTTTATAAAGTTTGTTATTGGTGTCAATAAATCCAACATTCAGCCACCCCCTCAATAGCAAGAGTAGCTCAGCTGAACGCGAGTGTGTGTGCAGTGGGTTAATAGCTCCCACTGGAAATTGTAAGAAAGTGCAAGACACGCTCTGACCATCCAAAGCTAGAAAGTTTGTCAGGCTAGCTTTAGTTGCCGTGAAGGCTTGTGTGTAGTCACAGTTAACTACGCTGTGCATGCCGGTGAAAGTAAAGAAATTTCTATCAACGACGCTGTTACCGCTATAGTTCGTTGGAACTACGATGTCTGTGGTGATATCTTGATCACCTGCCATGACAATTGCAAGTAAGAGAAAAAATGGAGTTGATTTGAGAAAATTTTATAGATTTACGGATCAGATTTACACAGTGGAATATAAAAATTATTTGATCCATAAACCTTTGAACCCAACGATCCTTATACCGATTTATATCATTCTTACATATTATTATATTAAATACAAATATAATTTCATACCAGTGTTTGGAGGCTCGTTCAAATGATTTCGAATGCGTTCGCTTTCACTCCAAGGAAGAAATGCATGAGTGGTATTCACACGAAGATAAGACGACGATCATGTGCTAGCTAAACCAATCGGTTCAAGAACAAGAATGCAGAATTTTTCTCTTAAAAAATTCTTTTCTCCAACAATGAGGGTTCACAATTTGGAGACGTAGAGAGAGGCCAGCTAGGGTTTATTTGATCCAATGAATAATCTATGTTTTAATTTTTTGTTGCACTTAAATAGTGCACTAAATAAAACCCTAATTAATATGGAATAGCCATCTACTAATTCCATATGTAGATTGGCATTATTCCATTACCAAAACAAGGTGATTCTAATATTGGTATTTTAATTTTGAATTTGAATTTGAATTCATATTATATTCATTAACATTAATATTATTTTAGATATTAATATTAACTAATAACACACACACACACACACACACACACACATAATCTCACTTATTTTAATTTCCATATAAAATTAAATATGGTGACGACCTTAGCAAATCTAATTGCACTATGAGATTACAAAAATATCCTTTCATCTTAAAAGACGAAAATACCCTTCTCACTTACTTATCCTTTATCTGTCTTCTATGTGTGTGACCTGAAGACTCCTCATCATATCGGTAGTAAGTAATATATCGTGATTGATACTCAATCAATCGTCTCACTAAACACAGGCCAAGATTGACCTCTAACAAGGTATTATGGCTGTGAATTTACAAGAAACAAAGTGGAAAACAGTTGAAGAAAGAAAATCAGAGAACCTTGTTCATTAACTAACTAACTGATACAAAGAGTAAAGTGAGCTTTTTATGTTGAAGAATACTGAATAGTGTTAACTGAAACAATGCAGTTTTGGCTATAGAATTGACTACAGTTCAATTTACAATTTTAGCCTTTTTGACTCACATTTCCCCTCAAACCAAGCTCCATAAGGTTTGAGGAAGAGATTTTGAACAATATGAATTTTCCATGAGGAACCATGCTTATTGAATGATAGTCCCCACCAAACTAAGCTTCAGAGATGATCTTGAGCAAAACAATTGAGCCTGAAGAACTGGATCCAAAAGAAGTAAAAATTAAAGCTAAGTAAACAACTGCAAGTCCCATTTTGAACTGCTGAAGCATCAGATACGCAAATAGGTAAAGCTAAAACATAGCAAACAAGCTATAACATGAAACCATTGGAACTTGAAGCAGTGGATGCATAAGAATTGAAGTTGAACTATTGAAGCATCAGATAAGCAAATAGGTAAAGTTGAAACATAGCAAACAAGCTACAGCATGAAACCATTGGAACTTGAAGCATTAGATGCATAAGAAGTAAAATGGAGGCTGAGTAAACATCAGTAAGTTAGATGCATAAGAAGTAAAATGGAGGCTAAGTAAACATCAGTAAGTCCCATTCTGGGTTCTGGAATCCTCAAACAATCAAATAATCGAGACTGAAGCATATCAAACAACTGCAGCATTAGATGAATAATTGAGCTAAAGTGGAGCAAACAACTCTAAGTTATTGTCATAGGGAAGTAAGCGACTAACATGGTTTGTAATCAATGATCTCCACTTAATTGCTGTCACAATGTTAAGTGGAAATTTCAATAGCACTCACCACTGTTAACTTCTATCGTAATTCAACAAATTGAGAGGCAGACAAGACTTTTGTAAGGACATCAACTGTTTGAAGCTTGAAAGGCACATACTGAATTGCCACTTTATTAGCCAATACATACTCTTTGATATAATGTGTATCTATCTCGATGTGTTTGGTGCGTACATAAAAGACGGGATTAGAAGCCAAGGCTATTACACTAATATTATCGCACCATATTACAGGTTTGAGACTTATAGAAATTCCCAGTTCAACAAATAAGCTTTGCAACCATGCTACCATTATGGCTATTTGGGCCAACACTCTATGCTCAACTTCAGTGGAAGAAAGAGCTACAACTCGCTACTTTCTTGAACTCCACTGAACTAAATTAGGCCCCATGTACACATAGTAGCCACTAGGAGAGCTTCGATCCTCTAAATTGCTTCCCCAATCAACATTGACATAACATTCCACATTGAGAGAGCGAGTAGATTGAAAATGTTAACCATAATCAAGTGTCCCTTTGACATACCAAAGAATTCTCTTGGATGCTTGCCATTGAAGGTTGGTAAGAGCTAAAAAGAACTAACTAAACTTGTTAAAGGGAAAGCTAAGATCAGGTCTTGTAGGTGTGAGATACTGAAGTGCCCTTATAGTGCTTCGGTACAAACTAGGCTACTCAAATAAGTCACTATCACCTGAAAATAACCGTGTACCTACTGCCATGGGAGTGGAGCAAGGATGAGCCTCATTCATGCAGGTTTTGATTAATAGATCAGTTGCATACTTGGTTTGTTTCAAGTGGATACCACTACAGGTTCTTGTAGCCTCCAGGCTAAGAAAATAATGCTATGAACCAAGAGTTTTGAGTGAGAATTGGTCATTTAGATTCCGCATAAGCTGAGTAATGTAAGCTGAACTGGATCCTATCAAAAGAATGTCGTCTACATAGACTAACACATAGATTAGTAAAATCTTGCTTAAAAATGAACAAACTTAAGTCTGAGACAGAATTAATAAAACCCTTACTGAGGAGGGCAACCTTTAACTGATCAAACCAAGCCCTTGGAGCTTGTTTAAGTCCATATAGAGCTTTATTCAACTTGTACACATAGGAAGGTTTGTTAGGATCCTCAAAACTAGGAGGTTGCTTCATGTGTACCTCTTCATTCAAAGTACCATTTAAAAAGGCATTGTTGACATCAATTTGCTAGGCATCCCAACCATGCATGACAACTAAGGTGAGAATGATTCTAATGGTGGATGGTTTGATCACTGGACTAAATGTTTCAAAGTAGTCAAGTCTAAGGGTTTGTTGGAAACCTTTGCAACCAACCTAGCCTTATATTTTTGCAAAGATCCATCTGCATTATACTTGGTTCTAAATACCCACTTGTTCCCTACTACATTCACATCGGAGGAAAGAGGAACCAGTGTCCAGGTCTGAATTTTCAACAGAGCATTAAACTTAAATTGCATTGCCTCTTCCTACTTAGGATTAGCCAAAGCTTCAACGATAGAACTGGGTTCTAGTTCAACAATATTATGTTCTAACAGAAAAATAGTAGAGTGATTTGCTATAGGACTAGAAAAGGAAGACATGGCTGCTGCTTTTGATTGGGTTAACATAGGGTGAGTATTAAAAGAACTTGATTGTGTAGGATGTGTGGAAGCTGGTTGTGTAGGATGTGTGGAAGCTGGCTATGTAGAGTATGAGTTGAAGAGTGTTAGTGAACCGTGATAGTGAAAGATCAACCTTAAATGGACATGATGGCAGGATAGTATCAAATGGTATAGTAGGAAGAGAGGATATCTTGGCTGAATGTTGATCAAGAGAGTATTGTGGAGAAGGACTAGATCGGGTAATGTTATTATTTGATGGAGAATAAGCATTATTTGATAGAGAACTAGTGGAAGCATGAGGTGCAACAAGTGCTAAAAGAGAAATATGCATCTGAGAATTTGAATTAAAAGAAAAAGAGTTACCTAGTGTTGAAGTGCTAGTGTTAGACTGGTGTGATGAGCTTGTCATTGCAAAGGGAAAATGAGTCTGATCTATTGAAGAAAGAGGACTATGTGTAGCCGTAAAAGGAAAGGTAAGAAATTGACTATGACTAGAAGAGTTATTAGGTTCAAAAAATAGCTCAGGGGAGAAAGAATAAGCAATGTGACCATAGGAAAAAGGAAATTCTAATTCATTAAACTTAACACATGGAGTGACAAAAAAATTTCCATCTGGTTTCAAACATTTATACCCCTTATGAACTAGACTATAGCTAACAAATACACACTTGGTAGAGTGAAAGTCAAACTTGTGCTTATTAATGGGTCGAAGGAATGGAAAGCAAGAATAGCCAAATACTTTCAATGACTCATAAACAGGTGGAGTTTGAAATAATTTTTGGAAAGGAGACAAGTAAGCTAAAGTAGCCGTGGGCATCCTATTAATGAGAAAGACTCCAGTTTCAAATGCTAGCCACTAAAACTATAAAGGCATGGATGCATGAGCAAGAAGGGCTAGGCCAGCCTCAACTATATGTCTGTGCTTGCACTCACATCTACCATTTTGTTGATGTATATGTGAGTAAGAATCTCTAAACATAATCCCTAAATCAGTGAGATAAGAATATAGTGCAATGTATTCTCCACCCTGATCTGACTGAAGACACTTGATTTTGTAACCGAATTGCCTTTCAGCAAGGTTATGAAATTTAATAAAATAGATTTAACTTCAGCTTTAGTCCTAAGAGGAAAAAGCCAAGTATATCGACTATAGTCATCCAAAAATTGCACATAATATCTAAAACCTTTTGATGAAGGTAAAGGGGTAGAACCCCAGACATCCTTATGTATAAGCTTTATAGGCGCAGCGGCTTGAGATGTGGATGAGGGAAAACTAGTAAGATGTAATTTGCCAAGTTGGCATGTATCACAGAATGAGAGTGAAGTATTAGATGATGGCTTGGTCTTAGAGATAATGTTCTTAGCTAGGCAAACCAACAACAATTTTTTTGTAAAATAAGAGAATAGGGGTGTCTTAAGCGTTTGTGCCATGTCATGTAATCAATATCAAGTTTATTAGCATGAAAACAAAGAACATTAGAACTTATATTAGGCAGAAACTGTTCAGAGGAACAAGTTTTATTATTGATAAAAAGATCCTTACACTTTGTAGTATCATTAAGAATAGACTGTGCAAA